CGGCAATTATTGAATTTCGCAGCACGAATAATCACAGACAGACAAGAAGACTCAAAATCTCATGCATATTAGTGATGATCCTTGGGCATGGGCGGAAGTGGTGTAGTGACAAGTGGCGCGCTTACCACGCGAGCGGTCCGGGATCAAATCCTGGTTCGTGAGTCGCCCGGGCCAACCAAGCCTTCCATCCATCCGGAGCCGGTTAATTGGTACCAGACTTGTCTGGGAGGATAAAAACACTGACTTGTACATCGGCTGGCCCCGCAAGTCATTGTATAGGCCACATCGCATTCAAACGCCACTACGAATGTACAAATGGAAGTAGAATGCGTGCCGCATCCCAAAACGGGATTGATCAACGGCAAATGCTTTATCCTTTATCCTTTATTTATCCTTGGGCATGCGGAAGGTGGAAAGCGGATGCGACTGAAGCTCCTCAATGATGCGTTTGATCAACTGCCCAATTTATATCGGTTTTCACTTATGCATGGCATAATCTTTAAATTGGGGAAAATATTGTATGGAACACTTGAAGAGGTATGCTTCCTTGTCCAGTAACCTCACCCGTTTTAACACGTTGACGACATCGCGCGTTTTGGGTTTTTTGCACCGCGTGGGACCAGAGCGATTTTGCGAGCGCCGCCGCCTCACATCAAATCCATGGATTTTGAGCTGTAAATACACTTAGATGCGACAAAGTGTTTTCAATAATGTTCGATGTGTGTCTAACTTATCGGGAGTTACAGTAATGGAAGTTCGACCAAAATGACGTGTTATGGCCATGAAAAGGCAAATTTCACTAGCATTTGCTTTAGTGGTTCCAAAATTATTTTGGGCGTGGTTGTTTCAGCAGAAAACACATACCTTATCCACGCGAATAGGTTTGCTTTCGCTTCCGTTACTTTTTTTATGAGTGTCCACGTAATGAAGAGAAAACGAGGAATGAACTGAACAGATATTTTCGTAAGGTCTGGAAAACCTCTGCCAAACTAAAGAATATTTGGTCATTTTCTTGAACCACGTGGTTCTTGGTTATGTTGATGTATGGCCTATAAAATGAACACAAAAATTGTGGGAAGAAATCGGGCATGTGCGCAAAAATTAGATGTGATTAGATGGTTGCGACATACATAGCTGCCACAGTGTCCGATGAGGTGCAAAATGGCGGCATACATAGTTGCCGCGCTGTCCTTAAGGTGTTTAACCGGTATGGATTTCATTCATCTGCCAAAAATAGGGCGCTCCTCAACTCGTTGATTTCCTGTCTTTCACTGTTTTCTAGGCTAGATTCTTCCTCTTTGTAATTGCACCATTTAATAAGTAGTTACAACAGTTTTCAATAGTCTTTTGTAGATAGTCTTGGAATAGTGCTTTGCTGAACGCATGTTTTCCTAGACAGTACCATTGACCTTGCTGAGGTGTGCATATATGTTAGATCATGGTTCCACGACGCGCGCATTTGCGGCGTGCCGCGCGCGGTTCAAATGCAAGGAATCTCTTGGAGCGCGTCCAAGGGCAGCGGTCAACCGAAAGGCTTGGTGATTCAGCGTTTTGTAGTGTTCTCTGGGCACTCTCGCACATGCACACTATTACAGCATCTCTGCTTTCTTTCCTTCCTTCAAAAGGCTTAGTCCTAGAAAGGCACAAAGTATGTGCTTTTCTGTCTGGACTCTCACACTTTGGTTGACCGCTGCCCCGTAACCGTTGGAGCGAATCTTCTCTCGCTCTAACACAGTCTCTCGTGAACGTACTCTGTCACCATACCTGCATTTCTACCGTTTCTCGGATCCCAACTGTGGAGAGGCCCGACTTCAATATTAAGTACCTTCTCTGCGTTAGCACGACAAAAGTGTGCGCGTCGCCGCGTTGTGACTTAACAAGGCACGGTTCAGTCTTGGCTTTATTCTTGAAGGAATTTGTCCCTATCTCCATTATTCTTGCATTCTCATCGATTTTCACAACGTCGCCATATTGTTCTCAAGCAATGTATTTTCCGTTCTATTCGACAGTACGTTCGTGGCACTATATGTACGACCGATCCTATAAATTCTACTCAATACATGTTTCAGTGACAGATGTGATACGAAATGTCACAGAGTGCTATGGATGAAATCGCCCTCGTGCCAACGTGTGAGTATGGCTGATGATTTTGAGTGCTCATAATTTACACGATAGGCTTTTCAGTACAAGAGAACACGACACCGTCAGAAGCGACGACATCGCGTCCAGAAGAGACCGTAGTGCACGTAGTATCAAATCGTACGGATTCCAGAAAAGCCAAATTAGCAAAAAAGTATCAACGGACACCGATCGCCTTCTATCAGGTAGGTATAAGTCGCTTAGTTTCGAAATGAAATTTTCTTGTCGGAACATTTACATAAGTATGAGGGGGTGAGACTGTCTAGAACTATGTTGCCCACGCCTACCTTTCAGGATCAACCGTTATCAAAAGTTTCACAACTCCCTCTCTTTCTCAGAGGAGTTTCGATACCCTCCGTCATCACTCCCGACCGCCACCCTCACCATCACGGCTGCTTCTATTGTATTTGATCTGTGAGACTGTACACTTTCCACCATTTGCCTCCAAAGCGGCCGTTGTGCGAGGTGGAAATTCGCCTGAAGAAACAGCAGATACTTTGATTTCCTCTTTCTCACGCTCCTTTAGTGAGGTTACCGAGAAAAAGCGTCGAAAGTCCCTCCCGCACCACGACGCCTCCATCTCTTTAAATACCCCTTACACTTTTCCAGAGACAGTTGACCATGCATGATCCCTAGTAAGTCCCCTCCCAAAAATCGTAAATTTTGTAAGTATGACCTCCTGTTCAAGCAGTTTGGACGGACAGTAGATCCTGCCACCAATTGAGCTATGCTTTATAGGAGAGGGGCTGTTCAGGTAGGCAAGTCTCGTTTAGAACTACAGGAGCGTAAGCTTAATCAAAAGCTGAGCTTCAGGTTTTGGTAACAGCTACAGCTCCCGTGGGACGGGGAATTGGAGGAGTCTAAATAAAATTCGGAAGAGTCGATATGTATTTTCGAAGGGACAGTACTGTCTCTGAGATATCTTCACTGAAATATCTCCAAAGAGTACAGACATATATTAGGTTGTTCGAAGGTTTCCGCGGTTTTTTGTAGCCTTGATATTTTCGTGGAAAGCGCATTCATCGCTACATTTCTCACGGTGATGAAAGCTTCGAAGAATATTAAGGCAAAGTTCGGGCTCAGACCCACCTAAGAAGCCCTTACCATGGCTAGAAGTGCTGGGTACGCAAGTGCAAAGGTAGCGCCACCTTTCTACATCGAAACGCGTCACTAGGACCCTAGGCGCCATGGACTTCTAACAGACTCCACCAAACTTAACATGGTCCGCCCACCGTTCGATATCTTGTCTGCGTCGCCACGTTGATCTGCTATGCTCTCTCTTCTCGGACTTCTCTACCGCTCTCCGCGCTCACATTATCTCTCATCTCCCTGCCTGTCTTTTGAACTTCTCCACAGCATGGAGCAAAATGCTCGTATTTCCTGTGTATTTCAGGATTTTCTTTCCTTTTTCTCCACTGGCGGTCCACCTCCCATCCCTACTTTCACATTTGAGTGGAATCACTCCATCAATTTAAAGGCAAGATTCGGGATAAAATAGGTGTGGAAAAGCGTTCAGTTATGAAGCTAGAGGTGGGAGGTGGTCTGTAAAAGAGAAGGAAAGCAAACGAAACCACCGATTACGCCCCGTACAGAGACCTCCCCTATTTCAGCCACATTCCACCTTGGGATAGAGAAGAGGCGCGTTGG